GTTTGAGGTATGTATCACGTTATCTTATAAATCCACTTGGAATGGTCGCCGGTCCATTCTGGGTTCTAGTGGCCTAGTCTGCCCACTAGAGTGTGCACATGGTGTCCGGCATTTTCATGCTGGCAGATGAGGTNACGGTTATGAGGCAACGGTCATGTGATGGCAATGGTTTACCGGTATCATGCTATGTTATGTTTATGTATATACCAGGATCATGATATTGCAATTATTTTCACTGTCTACTTTAGTATGAGTTCTTACAGAGCACAGTGGACTTTAGTACTCACGCCCCATGTTATTTATGTTTTTCAGGTCACAGAGTCGGACCGGAGGAGTGAGCTGACGGGCGGTTCAGGATTGTGTTTACATGGTTGAATTTGGCATAGCAGTGCTGTTACTATCTCCCGTAGTGGAGTTAAATGTTTTTGCCACGCTACGATTTTCCGCTGACTTTTACTGTTTGTCAAACTTAGCCTTTTGATCCGATTACTAATCGGGTTGTTTATATTATAATAAACGGTTTTCTTTAAAAACTATAAATGGATTTCAACGCACAGTAACGGATTATGGTAGCACTCCGAAACATGATTTCGCAAACTAATCAGTAATTTTTAATAAAAGGTTTTGCGAAAATTTAACTCTGATATTTATGACATAGCAGGGTGTTACAGTTGGTATCAGAGCACGTTTCTGCGTCTCTAAAAATTCATACGAGTCAGAAATTCTTATAAAACCTGAACACGTCACGCTCATGCCCGCCGACTACAGGTAAGTGCTGATTCAAGTTTTAAATTATAAACAAATAACTATGTCTATGCTCAGAAAAACCACAGTTATGACTTAGTTAGGATACTCGAGTTATGTTCAGGATTCACAGTCCAGTATGTTCATGATTCGATATTTCCAGGCCATTTTAAGTAACTCGTCAAGAGATTTGTGCGCTTTATTAATTAGTTAAAGTATTTTTGTTTTATCTGATAATATCGAACATTTCCAATATTCAGATGCCGCCACGTAGAGAGCCAGATCGTCCGGAGGTTCTCCAGGCCACTGTAGTCACTCAATTTCGCGACTACCATCCAGAAAAATTCTCCGGCCAGGGAGACCCTCGAATTGTTGATGAATGGGTTCAGGGCCTTGAAATGATTTTTGAGGTCATGGACTGCCCCGACCGCTATCGTGTTTTATGCGCCCAGATCCAATTGACGGGTGACGCACGTCTCTGGTGGAACGCCTACTGGGGAATGCGTCCAGGTGAAAAGGAAGGTTGTACATAGGACAGGTTCAAGGAGCTAATTCGCGAGAAATCTTATCCTGCGTACTATCGAGCCGAAATGGGGCGTCAATTTCTGTCACTTAAACAAGGTACTCGCACAGTGGACGAGTACGAGCGAGAGTTGACTTGACTTAGAGCCTTTGTTCCTGACCTGGTGGGCACAGAGGCAAAGAGATCGAGATGTTTCACTGACGGGCTTTTGCCAGCAGTCCGTCATAACATTGTAGGTCACGGCGTTCAGACCTATGCCCGTACTGTCACCATAGCCCAGAAAGTGGACGCCAGCATCCAGAGGGAAGCCAACCATGATCGTCTTCAGACATCTGCCCCTGCTCAATCATCCGTAGTACCACCTATTCAACCCGCTGCTGCCCAACAACCGAAGGACAAGAAGAGGAAAGGGAAAGGATTTCAGAATGACAGGAGGAACCGTCAGAGACAACAAGGTGCTGCCAGGCCACAACAGATTCCACCATGCACTACTTGCAGACGACCCCATTGTGGAGAGTGTCATTTCGGCCAGGACATTTGTTATTATTGCCATCAGCCCGGACATTCTGCCCAGAGCGACCGCAGCCACGACAGCAGCCACCGCAGCAGCAGCCCAGACAACAGGCCCCGAGGCCACCCCAGCAGAAGCAGAGGGGTAGATAGCAGGCTCGTGTTTATGCTGTTGATCAGGTCGAGGCAGAGCAGCACCCAGGTACTATGCCTGGGATGATTATGCTTAACGATGTTCCTGTCTTCGCTTTATTTGATACTGGAGCAACTCACTCTTTTATATCACGACGATGTCTTGTTGCCATTGGAGTACATTCTATTACCGTTGTCGATCCTCTCGAGGTGAGTTTAGCCTCGGGATGAAAGATAGTGACTGATGCCAAAGCTACTGATCTCAGCCTTTCTATCGGTGGTCGTATCCTGTCTACCGACACTTATGTTCTCGAGATGAGGGACTTTGACCTCATTCTCGGTATGGATTGGCTAACACATTTTCATGCAGATATTCGATGCCACGACCGGGAGATTACTCTTTATCTTATGGGAGATGATCATATTACTTTCTTGGGCACCAAGACTCATTCTTTACCTCATGTTATTTCCATGGCGAAAGCCAAAAAGATGTTACGACGAGGTGTTTGTCAGGGTTATCTGTTGAGCCTTGTCAGCGATGAACCAAAAGCACGGACACCTCACAACGTTCCTATTGTTCGTGAGTTTGTGGATATGTTTCCGGACCAACTCCTAGGAGGACCATTTAACCGGCAGGTGTTCTCTATTGATCTCATTCCAGGAGCCGGCCCAGTTTGCAAAGCCCCTTACCGAATGGCGCCGAAAGAATTGCAGGAATTAAAGACCCAAATCCAGGAGTTATTGGAACTTGGTTTTATCCGACCGAGTGTCTCACCATGGGGAGCACCCGTTCTTTTCGTTAAGAAGAAGGACGGTTCTATGCGCATGTGTACTGATTACCGGGATCTCAACCGGTTGACTATCAAGAATAAATATTCGCTTCCCAGAATCGATGACTTGTTCGACCAGCTGAGGGGAGCCTGTGTGTTCTCCAAGATTGATTTACGATCAGTTTACCATCAGCTGAAGATCAAGGAGTCAGACATTGCAAAGACCGCTTTTCATACCCGATACGGTCATTATGAGTTCGTAGTCATGCCATTTGGCCTCAGCAATGCTCCAGCGGTATTCATGGACCTGATGAACCGTATATTCGTAGTGATGATATGTATTGGTTCGTGGAAAATATTATTTGAGTTATTCGAGCAATTCTTCTTACTCATGATATAAATTCGGTTTATATTCGTGAAAGCACTATTTGATCCATTCGTGAACCGTTGGATTTATTCGTGAGCATGTTGTATGATTAATTAATAAAAAAAATACTTAAATTACTCCTGGGAGCTGTTTGAATTATTCATGGAGATTATTTGACTCGCTCGTGGAATTAGTTAATTGTATAAAAGGTTGCGGAGGAAAATAAATGACAAGGATCTAGGGGTATCTCTCTTTAAATAACACTAGGGTTAGGTCTTCTTTACTTGGCGTTTCTTTTGGATTGTAAATTCTCTCAGGTGGGAGTGGGTGCGATTCTCTCAGGTGGGAGTGATTTTATTCCTTTGGTGAAGGAGATCCGATTTTCATAGCGAATTTCTCTGAATTTTTGTTGTTGTTTATGGCGGATCCAGGGGATCTGGGGGATGAGGTTACTAAAAAGCTCCAGAAGTTCTCGTTATCTGTTAAAGAATCTAGGGGTGTCGAAATACAGCGCAGAGACATTATATCGAGTGAGGAGGAATGTGTGAATAGTTTGTTTGGGAAAGTGATTGGTGACCGCAAGGCTTCACTTCTGGGGGTCAAGCGAGCTATGAGTGCAATTTGGCGTCTTCACCAAAGATTAGAGGTTCGTGAACTGGAAACAAATTTTTTTCAATTCATCTTCTCCTCGGAAGATGATAGGAAAAGGGTTATGGCGGGGCATAGTTGGCTATTCGAGAATCAATATCTGGTTTTAAGAGAATGGCGGAGGGGATTAACCAGCAGACATCGAAGTTTCGACCAAGTGAACTTGTGGGTGCATGTACTAAATGTCCCTTTTAACTGGATGAGCAGTGAGGTTGGGCTGAAAATAGGGGAGGTGTTTGAGGGGGTAAAGAATGTCACTATCTGCAGATTAGGAGGGGACGAGGGCAGCTTCATTAAGCTATTGGCAACCATCAATACGAAGGAGCCATTGCCTCGATGTACAGTGGTGAAGCTCGAAGATCAGCAGACGATGGTTCAATTCAAATATGAACGCTTAGTAAATTTGTGCTACTACTGTGGGTGCATTGGCCATCTTGATAAAAATTGTGAAACTCGGCTGATGGATATTGAAAACAGATGTCTGCAAGAAGGGCAATTTGGGGACTGGCTTAAAGCTGCTGATTTCATCTATGGGAACAGACATTCAGTTAATAGTGGCTCAGAACCTAAAGAGATTTCTCCTGCTCTAAACCCTAAAATGGATACCAATGCTGCAGCTAGTACCTCGAGGCATCCACCACATTCTGAGAAAGGGGAGAATAGAGAAGGTGGCTCTTCTGTTCATAAAGCTCTTAGTACTAAAGAGGGTGGTCAATCTCTGGAGTTGGTGATGGTGTCTCCTTTGGGTGAGGAAGAGGAGATTGCTGAAGTGGAGATCAGGAAAGAGGGTGATGAGAAGAGGGATATCATGGTGATAGAAGAAGCTAATTCTCCATTGATAGATGTTGGAGTTGAAGCTGAAGTGCTGCTGGCTGATAGTAGGAGAACAAGGAGAAGAGCTGCAGCTAAAGCTGGTAGACTATTGAGAAGTCCGGTGATTGAAGGGAATTCCATATCTTTTAGTGGCTGGAAAAGGGAGAGAAATAAGGAGCAAGATCTTCAAGTGGTTGAATTTCAAAACAAGGAGAAAGAACATATGGGAAAGAGAGTTAAATTAACTTCTAAGAAGGTGGAGAAGGCCAGCCTGGAGTGGCCCCAATGTGACCAATGAAGGTCATGGTGTGGAACTGTAGAGGGCTGGGTGGGCCCTGTACAGTTTCCCAAATCAAGGATTCAAGAAGAATCCACCACCCACATATTATATTTTTATCTGAAAAAAAAAAAACAAATATTTTACTAAAATTGTATGTAATAAGCTGGGGTTCCAAGATAGATGGCACTTGCAGGAGCCTGAGAAGAGCAAAGGTGGCCTTTTATTGATGTGGGATCAGGAGGTTGAAATCAGAAAGCTTGAAGGAAATGAATTCTGTATTCAGGTGGAAGTCAGGGGCCCTGGTATGAGTGAATGGTGTTGGTTGGTTTTTGTGTATATCAGCACTGACAGAAATATAAGGAGTATGCAATGGGAGTTTTTGCTAGATAGGAGGGGGATTGGGGGAGCTGTTGGGCAATTGCAGGGGATTGGAATGGAATTGTGAGCAATGAGGAGAAAAGGGGTGGGCTTGTAAGATCAGATAACAGTTTCTTACCCTTTAGAGATTTTATAGTGGACATGGAAATGCAAGAACAAGATCAGAAGGGAGCATTCTTTACTTGGGAGAATAACAGGAGAGGGGATGGCTATGTAGAGGAGCGGTTGGATAAAGTCTTTACATCTCAGGAGTGGTTGCTGAAATTCCCTAAGATGGAGGTGTCTAACTTTTTCAGAAGTGCATCTGACCATAATGTAATCCTGTATGACACTGAAATGGAACTGCAATCATCTAGAAGGAGATTTGTTTTTTATAGAAACTGGTTGAAGATGGAGGGTATTGAAGAAGCTGTGGCCAAAGGATGGGAAATGGATAGTGAGGGTTCTGAAATGTTTAAAGTTCATCATAAAGTGAAACATACTAAAAAGGCAATCTTATCCTGGTACAACCCAGTGAAGAGGAACAATGAAAAACTGATCCAAACCCTTACAGCCAAAATGGAAAAATTGAGAGAAGAGGGCAGGGAGGAGGATTGGGTTACATGGTGCTCCACAAAATGTGATCTTGATAAGGCATACATGGAGGAAGAACAATATTGGAGGGCAAAGTCTAGGGCTCTATGGCTTAAAGCTGGCGACAAAAATACTCGTTTTTTTCATGCCTTTGCTGCTCAGAGGAGAAAGAGAAATTCTGTTTTGAGGCTTGTGTCTGGAACAGGTGAGGTGATTACTAAACCGAAGAAGTTAGAGGAACACATTGTAAACTACTACTCTTCTCTTTTCAAATCTGAAGGATCTAATAGGGGGATGAGCTACTCAATCATATTCCTCAGACTGTTTCAGATGCTGCTAACAATGAATTAATCCGGCAGGTCAGTGAGGAAGAAATTCATGATGCACTCTTCAGTATGGCTCCTGATAAGTCTCCGGGGAAAGATGAGATAACTGCTGTGTTCTTTAAGCATTTCTGGCATTTGGTAAAAAAAGATGTGTGCAAAGTTGTGTCTGATTTCTTTAAAACAGGTACAATGTTGAAAAACTGGAATCACTCGGTGATATCTCTGATCCCAAAATGTTTGTACCCTGAGCAACTGAGCAATTATAGACCAATAAGTCTCTGTGGAGTCCTGTACAAGATTGTGGCTAAGGTGTTAGCTGAAAGATTAAAAGGGTGCTTAGATGGGTGTATCAGTGAAGCTCAGACTGCTTTTGTTCCTAGGAGGCAACTCCTAGACAATGTGGTGATCACCCATGAGATATTTCACTTCCTGCACAGACACACAACAGGTAAAAATGTTTTTATGGCTTTAAAAATCGACATGGAGAAAGCATACGACCGTGTGGAGTGGAATTGAATCAGGATGACAATGCAGAAGATGGGCTTTCACTCAAAATTTATAAGATGGGTTATGGCTTGTGTCTCAACTTCCACTTTCGCATTTAACCTGAATGGAAATGTTTCTGGTTATGTCTCCCCTTCGGGAGGAATTAGGCAAGGTGATCCATTATCACCATATCTCTTCATTTTGGTTTCTGAATTGTTTTCTGTGGGGATTGCTCACCAGGTGAGTCAGGGTTTGTTTAGGGGATCAAACTGTCAAGGGATGGTCCAATGATCAC